CACCGATATCATACATATCTATTACAATTCCATTGACTCCACTCCCACACTGTATTCCACGTCCCATGACTATATATATATATATTCAATTGTAGTTGACATACAATATTATACAACATCAGCTTCAGGTGTACAGTGCAGTGATCAAGCTTCTAGCTATCCATGAAGTGGTCTCCCTAACAAGACATGTGACCATCTGACACCCTACAAAACATTTACAACATTTTTAATTATATTCCTCTAACTGTCTTTCATATCCCTGTGGCAATATTGTAGTTACCTATTTATGCTGTCTAATCCCTTCCCCTTCTCCCTCATCTCCACCCCCCTCCCAACTAGCAACCATCAGTTTTTCCTGTATTTCTCTGAGACTATTTCTGTTTACTTTGCTCATTTATTCAGTTTTTTAGATTCCACATATAAGTGAGATCATATGGTATTTGTCTTTCTCTGACTGACTTATTTCACTTAACATTGTCGTCTCTGGGTCCATCTATATCGTTGCAAATGGTGCAATTTCATTCTTCTTTATAGCGGAGTAATACTCCATTGTATAAATGTACCACAGTTTCTTAATCCAGTCGTCGTAGTCATGTTTTGTTATTGGTACATATTGACTATTAACAATTTTAGTAGGTTTTTTCCTGTCTTAAAATGTGTATACATTTTTTGGGCACCCTCTGTATTAAAGGAGATTGGAGAGGAGGAGGGGCCAGAGTGACAGACTTGGGCAGGAGAGGGAGATGGGTGTTCAGGTGTTCCTGGCTTTCAGTGGAGGGTGGGGCTGGAGAAAGGCACAGATGGAGGTTTGAAAAGTTCCAATCTGTTTGCAGTTCCTAGAGGAGGCCTGGTGTTTAGAGAAAATCTTCTGGGGTGCCTCTTCTGAAAAGCCAGGGTTCCTTTTTTTTATGCCTAGGAGGATGGCTGCTGCTTCATCTCCTGGCTCTGTGGGTGTGGGTGCTGACTTGGCACACCCTGCTGGACTTTTTCAAAGGCACTTGAATCTGCAAAACAAAACCTGACTTCAGCCACAGCATTCTGTCTTCTTGCCTCCCTTCCTGACATTTTTCTGAGACACCACACATGCTCCTAGGAACCTGGTCAGAATTGCCCAGACTCTCTGGTGTCGCTGAAGGACCATAGATTAGAAGGTGGGCACTGTTTGTTTGCAGAGAGGTGAGGGTGGGGGTCAGGAGAAGGCATAACAGCTCCATCCCCCCTCACGCTCCTAATTTAATCAAAAGTGTTAATGCCCACATCCCTTCTGGGAACAGATTTTACTGCACAATTTACGTCTCTCTGACTTTCAAGGCTTAGATGAGAATGTCAGCATTTGGTGAGCCCTCTTAGCAACCAAGGAAGACCATTGATGAGGAAAGGCCAGCCTGACAGATTTACAGCCTGGGTGACCTCCTCAGAGTTCATGCTGCTTTGGGTAGCATATAGATAGGACCCTAGAAGTAATTACATGAATGGCCTCTGAGAATGGTCTCACCTGATATTTTAGTTGGGCCCCTCTGCTCAGTGGTGGGCACTGCTGGACCATTTGGAAGGTGGGATTCTCGTTAACGGACTCCCCTAGCCTGCATGTTGACCTTCCAGCCACAGGGTTTAGGCAAGGGTGCCAATCAGTAAGTGGATAAAAACAGGTCCCTTTCCTCCCAGCGTCTTCTGATTCAGCCTCATCAAACTCTCCAAGTGAAGTGTAAGTGTCCCCTGCAAGGGTTAGACTCAAAAGTAAATTGCAGACATTAATGAAGTTAGACATGGTCTATGGGTTGGGGAGGCAGAAAGGAGACAGTAGTTGCTGGGAGGTTCAAGGGAGGGGGAACTAACAAAAATCAAATAAATGCAGAATAAAATGTCAATGACATGCTGTGGAGAAGTAGGGTACAGGCACGGTGAGTTGTGTGGGGCTGTTGGGGTGCTATTTTATATAGGGTGGTCAAGGAAGGCCTCTCTGAGGAGGTGACATTTAAGCAAAGACACAAACAAAGTAACAAAGTGAGTATGTGAAGGAGCAAGGGCAAAACTCCTGAGACCTTGGGTTGGATCAGCAAGCAGACCCAGGGCAGGAACCACTGCGACAGGAAGGAGAGAGGGAGGAAATTAGGTTGGAGAAGGACCCAGATGATACAGGCCTTGGGAGTCTTGGTGGACTTGTTGGGTTCCAGCAAGAGTGCCAGGAAGCTGCTGGAAGGCTTTGATCCAAGGAGCGGGCAGGCTCTGCTTTCTTTTGCGTCTCCCTTTGGGTAAGACCTAGACCCAGGGCTGGGCTTGCAGATGTGGCAGAGGTGAGACGTAATAAAGGAAAGAACTGGGAGAGCTTGGCCTGATGTCCCCGCAGCACCCTCATCCTTTTCTCTTCTCTTCCCTCTCCGTCTTCCTCTTTCTCCTCTCCTCTTTCTTCCTGCGCTCTTTGGCTGAAACCATTGTGTTCCAGTTTGGGAGGGTGACTTGCCCCCTTGCTTTCTTAACTTCCCTCCATGTCAAGGTTGTGTGCACTCTCCTCCCTGCTCCCTGACCCCCCCGCCCTCTCCCACAACTCTGCTGACTCCCAGGCAGAACCATGGGGAGTCATGGTGACATCCTTTCATGGTGTCATGGCTGCTGATCTAGGTGCCTGGCCTTTCTGGCAGGAGGGAGCAGGTCCCAAGTCCTAGGATTTCATTCCAGTTTGTCTCTTCAGCAGCTCAAGGAAACAATTTAACCATACAACTATTAAGCACCCATTGTTGTATGCTCTGGGTGGGGAGGAGGTGGGGCAGGGGACATTGGCAAGCACATGAAGGAAATGCTTTCTGTGACCTCAAGTTGTTTTCTGCTACCAAGCTTCCCCGAAAATAAGACCTAGCCAGAGAATAAGCTGTAGTATGATTCTTCCAGGATATGGAGGCCACGCACCCCTCAATGAGGGTTTTATGACCTGTTTCGGGGAGAAGGGTGTCTTTTCCACAAACTCCTTCAGCTTAAAATATTCAGTATGCCAAGGTACCATATTTTGGCACCTAAAATCATGCGAGGGCTTATTTCCTGGCTAGGTCTTCTTTGCGGGGAAACAGGGTAGTGAGATGACGCCACTGCAGAGTTGACCGAAACAGGTGATATATATATAATTAGGGATCTCACATGTGATTTGGCCATGTAGTGGGAGGGAGACATTATTTCTTGGACATTGTCCTGGAGGTAGTCACATTTTGCACTGGGCTTTGAAACACAAAGAAGCTTTCCAAGGAGGATGGGGGTTGGGTGGACATGGAAGGGGAGTCCTGCCAGAACACTTGAAGTCCAGAACAGTGTGGGCCAGCAATATGCACTGGTTTCACCTGGTACCTAGCACCGTGGTGGAAAATAAACAAGAATGGAGGTGTGCTCCAAGGGTGGCTAAGAGAAGACCAGCACTCAGGGGCCTCTGAACTACCTCACTTAGCGTTCCCTGAGGTGCCGAATGAGACCTTGCTGTGCCGAGTCTGTCAGAGTGGAGAGAAAAATAGAGCTGATGGAACCTTATAGGTCATCCTGGACAGCTCATTTTCTTGAGGTCATGGAGTCCTTCGAGAATCGGTGAAAGCTATCTCCTGAGAAGAAATGTATATCTGTACATACACTAAATTTTTCTTTATTCAGATATAATTCACATCCCATAAATTTACCATTTAAAAGTGTACAATTCAGTGGGTTTTAGTGTATTCACAAGATTGTGTAACCATCGTCACTACCTAATGTCAGGACATTTCATCACTCCTGAAAGAAAGAAAGAAAATTCATACCCTGTGGTAGTCACCCCCCCCCCCCCCATTCTCCTCTCTCTCTACCCCCTGGAAACTACTAATCTTTCTGTCTCAATGGATTTACCTATTCTGGACATGTTGTGTAAATAGAATCATACAGTATGTAGCCTTTTGTGTCTGCCTTCTTTCACTTAACATGTTTTTTTAAGGTTCAGCCATGGTGTAGCATGTATCAGTGTTTCATTCCTTTTTATGAATAATATTCCGTTGTGTGGATAGACCACATTTTGTTTATCCATGCATCAGTTAATGCACATTTCAGTTGTTTCTAGTTTTTGGCTATTATGAATAATGCTGCTCTGAACATTCATGTACAAGTTCACACACTAAAATTTACAAACCATTTCAGGGGTTAATAGAACCCCTGAAATTCATTTCTTGATCTCTTGATCTCGGATACCCTTGTTTTACAAAAGGGGAGGAATTCAAGAGGGAATGGACTCATCAAACTGTATACATTAAATATGTTCAGTTTTCTTTGTATATCAATTATACATACCTCAATAAAGCTATTTTTTAAATAAAGTCAATTCTTAAAAAGAATATGGAGAAGGTATTGAGCTTCTCTAGGTTAAGCACTTTACACACCCACATGCATTTAATCCTAAACAACCCTATGACACAATGTTGTTTATTATTCCCCTATTACAGATGGGAAAACTGAGGCTGAGAGAAGCCATGCCAGGCTTCTTGGAGAAGTCAGGCTTTAGGCTGAGCCTTGACTGCCAGTCTGTGAAAGGCAACTACACATTTTGTCTCCTGTTGACCCCCATCAGAGCCCCTATTTCCTTCCATTTATTTCTGAATGGAGTACTACTGTCCTGTATGCCCACAAAGCATCCATTTTGCTAGGCCCATCGGGCCCAGTACACAGTGGGTATCCTAGACTGGTGTACAATGACCTTTCTGCAGTGGGATCCGTGATTGAAGGCTCTGCCTCCCACTCTTCTGTGGGGGAGCCGAGCCTCCAGCCCAGTCGGCTTGTGTGCGTCTGGCTGTGTCACAATAGCTCGGGCACAAGGGCATCTCCTGAACAGCTGAGACACCTGTAAACATTGCCTTTAGTATGACGACCCTTCGTGCGCCCTTCCCAGCCAGGAGGTGCTAGGGTCAGGCTAAGGATGGTGTGTGGGAGGGAGGTTGTTCAGGGAGGAGGTGGCTGCCATCTGAAGCCCAGTGTCAGCTGCCATGCCCTGCTTTGTCTCCCAGCCAGTGGACAGGCATCAAGCCCTGGTGCGCAGGGAGTCTGTGATCAACCTGGAGAACTTCAAGAAGCAGTATGTCCGCAGGCGGTGGAAGGTGTGTCCGGGCTCAGGGCTGGGGGGCTGGGAGTGTAGGGGGTGCAGGTGGGTTCCTGGGTCCCTCCAAGGTCTCTGTGCACATTCTCACTTGGCAGTCCCTTTTCTGTCCCCCCCTCAGCTCTCTTTCAGCATTGTATCCTTGTGTAACCACCTCACCCGCTCGCTGATGAAGAAGGTGCACCTGAGGCCGGATGAAAGCCTGGTGGGTAAACGCAGTACCCTCTGGGGTAGGATTCTGGGGTGGCCAGGAGCTTGGGGATGAGGGGGAGCAGATCAGATGGGTCTTAACTGTTCCCAGCCAGTTCTGCTGGTCCTGTCCGCCGCACTGTATGATTAGTGGGGGCCTTGTGTTCATGGGGACCACCAGGTGGTGCCAGGAGAAGCATGGCTTCCGGAGGATCTTAAATCCTCTCCTGGTGGGCCTTCCAAGAGATTGTGGCTGCCGCCCCACTGCCCCAGCCTTCCCTGAGGACTTGTCGCCTGCTGGAGACCTTGAGGACCCTGCATAGTAGGACTACCGCAGGCAATCCAAAATGTATTCCTGACAATCCAAAGACCTGCTGTAGAATGGGGGCTTTTTAGTCATGTTCCAATTGTTCCATTTCTGTTTTGCTTTAGATGAATAATAATAATAATATAATAATAATAATATGCTAACTTACATTTGATTAGCTTGTTACTGTTTTGTGTCCATTTAAATGGAGGAACTTACATACTGGACAAGAGTGTGGCCTCTGGAGCCAGACTGCCAGGATTCACGCCTGCCACCTATTAGCTGTGTGACTATGAGGAAATTACTTAACCTCTTTATGTCAAAATGTTATCATTTGTAAAATGAGATTAACAATAATTCCTATCTCATAGGGTAGTCATAAGGATGAAATGAGGACGTATTCTTAGAACCTGGCATTACAAGGGCTCAATACGTATTAGCAGTTATTGTTGTTGTCGAAAATGCTCCTGTAGACTTTAAAATGCAATGCCAGTGCTTCGGAATGCAGCAGTTAGAGGCTCTCTGAACATAGATGCTCCCCACTGTGTGCCAAGTGTGATGAGGGTTCCAGGAGTGTCTGGGATGGCACAGGTCAGGACAGAAAATAACTCACTCAGGAAAGGGCTGGAAGACAGCTGTCTGAGACAGAGGGGCAGTCAGCCTGGAGCAGCCTCAGGACCCAGGGCGCTCAAGCTGCGTCCCAGAAGCCCCTGCACTCCCCCCCCTCACCACCACATCCTGGGGTTCTCTTCCTTCAGCCTGAACTCTTGTTTATTCTTACTCTTGCCCAGGACTTGAGGATTTATGGCTCTAGAAGCCCGAAACAACTGTGTCTCTTCCCTGGCCTCTTTCTTTATCTGCTATTAATGGGGATTGGACTCTCTCCCTCTGAAAATCCCTGTTAATGGCAGGCAGACTTTCCCCCCAGCTTACTTTTTTATTGTTTGGCTCTGACGCATGCTAAAAAGTTGCTGTTCAGCAGAGCTTGAGTTATTTTTATTGTTATAGCCGGGCCTGGTCCAGGATGTATTTGACTAAAGTTGATCTTGACCTTGGATTTCCAGGTGGCTTAGGCCAGGGGAAGGAGAGAAGGCCCCAGGAAGGCACATGGCAGATAGCAGGCACGCCTTTCAGCTGAGTTGCCCTGATATAATGCAGGCCATGGGGAAAGAGGACCAGAAAGTGTCAAAAAGACAGTCCATTTCTACCCTAACCTTTGTCCTTGTGCAAACATTTAAAAATAGTCCTCTTTTTATGTGAACTCTCAGCACCATCAGCTCAATGGCTCACCCTACAAGTGAAAAAGGATTGGGTCCCAGACTTCTGTTATAATAAAGCTTTCCCAAAGGGACTTTCCTTTTAAAAAAAAGTCTCGAAAAAAAAAAAAAGGTCCTTTTATTTAGGAAGCATTAAAATCGAACCCATTAGAAAAGATTGTATGACTTGCTTAAGTCTTTCTGAATTAGTACTTCTTTTAATAATTTTAATAATTTGATTAGATCGATGTAGCCTGCATGAAAAAGGCACCATGACCTTCAGGGTGGCTGCCTCAGCTCCTGTTTAGCCGTGGAATGTACTTTACTCTTTTTCTCTTTCATATAAGTGGAGCACAGAAGCGTTTCCCTGGAAAAGGTACAGCCTAAGCCAATCAAGGAAGAATGGGTGTGGTGAGAGGGCCCTCAGAGCCTGGGGAGGTCCTGGTGCCTCCCCTCTCCTCTCTTTTCTGAGCTCAGGAGACCCATCAGCCCACAGACCACATATCAAAGTGGTCTTGATTATGTGGCAGCCACCAGATATCATTTTCATTATTGTTATAATTTGGCTTTTCCTGGTGCCTGGTTTCTCCTAAATGCTGTGCCTGTTTTCCTTTCTCCCGGGAAGGAGGCCTCAAGGCAGTTGGTGTGGCACCACTTCAGGTCCCTTCCCACCCCCGCCTCACCCACATCCAGCCTCAGGACAGAACAACAGCTTTCCCCTCAACATCCAACTCCCTGGCTTGCAGGCCCCTGGCCCAGGTGTACCAGGCTAGGTTGCCCAGCACAACCCCATTTCTGGCATCTCATGACCCTCTTTCCCTGGCCCTCTTTTTTTTCCCCCCCCAGAGGAATTGTGAGAGTGACACAGAGGAGGACATTGCCAAGAGGAAAGCCCTCCACCCCCGGAGGAGGAGCAGTACCTCCTAACTGGCCTGGCAATCAGTGGCCACCAGGGAGGCCCAGGCCCAGCGGGGATCCCTTCTGCACAGACTCTTGGTCCGCGCCCATCACAAGATCCCAGGCATCCTGCATTCCTGAACATTTTGCAAGAGATTTGGGCCTGCAGGATTCAGACAAGTTTGCAGGGGAGCCTGGAGACCCTGGGAGCTGGAGTTGTTTCTTATAGAGGAGGCCCCGGCATTCCCAAAGCTCTTATTCTCCATAAAACGGGCTCTCACCTGTCTGCCAACCTCAGAACCTGGGGTGTGGGTATGGACTTAAGAAAACAATGTAAATGAGCATCATCATCATCATGGGTGAAGGTCAGACTCAGGCAGATTTCCTCATAGGATGAGGGCATTCAGAGGCAGCCTGGTCAAAAATTATACCAGGAAGACAGAGGCCGTTTCCATGGGAACAAGACAAGTGAGTGAAATGAATCTTGGGGTGTGACAGGCCAATCCTGTGACCTCCCAGAACCCACATGGAGTTAGGCTGACCCAACTTGTCAGACCTTCTAAAGCAGCCCATTGCCAGGCCAATGTATTGTATTTTTTTTCATTTTTATTAAACTTCTGGTTTACCTGATGGTTGGCTTCTTTTAGGGATATTGCCATCTGATTTTCTTCAGCTCACGTGCCTGTGACTCTGGGGGAGCACCCAGGGATGGGGTGCTGAGTGGACAGTATCTAAGAAGCATATCATACTGAACCATCCCCTCTGGACTACAAGGCGCCTACCTTCTACAACCTTCCCTAAAGATTTTCAGCCCAAGAAAATCAGCCCAGATATGGCATATAGTGCCTGTGCTTCTCTACCACTGTTACTGTCACCCCTGCTGTTATGGACTGAGTCGTGTCTTCCAGTCCTTAGTATCATACCTCCAGGACCACAGAATACGAGGTCGGACAATTAAGTTCACAAACTCATCCTAGAAAAAGTGCTACATGCCTCAGTGCTGAATATCAGTACAGTCACCTTCAAAGTACTCCCCTTGGGAAGCTATGCACTGACACCAGTGCCTAGTCTGTCCTTCAAAGCAATTCTGGAACTCTTTTTCTGGAATGGCCATCAGAGTTGTTATCATATTACCCTTAATGTCCTGAATGTCATCAAAATGTCTTCCTTTCAATATTTTCTTTATCTTTGGGTAAAGAAAAGAAGTCATTGGGGGCCAGATCAGGTGAGTAGGAAGGGCGTTCCAATACAGTTCTTTGTTTACTGGCTAAAAACTCCCTCACAGACTGTGCCGTGTGAGCTGGTGCATTGTCATGATGCAAAAGCCATGAATTGTTGGCAAAAAGTTCAGGTCGTCTTTTTCATGCAGCCTTTTCAGCACTTCCAAATAGTAAAGTTGGTTAACTGTTTATCCATTTGGTACAAATTCTAATGAATAATCCCTCTGACATCAAAAAAGTTTAGCAACATCGGTGCAACAAGTTCATGAACTTAATTGACCGGCCTCATATGACTGTATTTGGAGATAGGGTCTTTAAAGAGGTAATCAAGTTAAAATGAGATCATTGGGGTGGGCCCAAATTCCACTATGACTGGTGTCTTTATAAGAAGAGATTAGGACACAGGTAAAGACCATGTGAAGACACAGGGTGAAGATGGCCATCTACAAGCCAAGGTGAGAGCCTCAGAAGAAACCAACCCTGCTGATACCTCCGTCTCAAACTTCTGGCCTCTAGAACTGTGAGGAAATAAATTTCTGTTGTTTAAGCCACCAGCCTGTGCTGCTTTGTTAAGGCAGTCCTAGAAAACTAATGTACATGCCAACTATTGCCAAAATAGGGACAGGGGACTTTTTAAAGATGTGAATGGAGAAGGGCAAAGAAGGCCCCACGGAGAGAAAAAGAGATGAACTACCTGGCCCCTTGAGTGAATGTGGTCAGGGAACCTTAGCGGCATAGAAATATGAGTCCTTGTTTTCCAGGCCAAAAGAATGGTGCTGCTGACCAAAAACCCAAGAGAAGACCCTTGGAAGCCAGAAATAAAAAGGGTCAGGGTGAGGCCCTGACACTGAGAAAGCATATGGTAAGAGGTGGAAAGAAAAGGAAAGTTTTGGAAGGTTGGAGGGGAAAAGTGAGCCAGGAAGGAGAGAGGGGGATGAAAGTAAAAAGGACAGAAAGGGAAAGGCCTAGGGAAAGAGGGGAGGCATCCTTTCCCTTTGTCAGCAGCACGTTTTAAGCACGTACTGTGAGAGAGCAGTTCAAGCTGCCTTCATTCAAGTGTATGGATCCAGGGGAAAAGGGCCTCACAGGAACAGAAAGACAATATGGTTTTGGATAAGCTTCCAGGCAGAAATGGAGTGGATCTGCAAGCTTGATGAAGAAAATTCTTTGGTTGGCCTGTAGTTCGTGGGCATCCCCAGTTCTCAGGCAGAACCAGCTCTGTGCCTCACTGCAGCCTCTGGAGGACAGCTGAGCCTGGGAACTGTGTTACGGACCTGGGCCAGTGAGGGGCTCTTGGCTGTGGCTGGTTACATAAGTCAGCAGGGAATGTTCTGGAACTGGGGCTCATTAGGAGCTCGTAGGACGTAAAGTGTGGTAGTGGGTAGGGGACTGCCCTTTTGCTAGGAAAGATAGCAGTCAATGGCTTTGACAAACCCAGTCTTGAGTTTCTTCTGATCATGACCATAGGGTTCACCTTTTAGAATTTCACCCAACTACTGAAACTGCGGGTCCTTATGACTTTGATTAAATTTACTATTAAATCCTAGCTCTAGAAATCATATCTCTCTGTCTTTCTGTCTCTCTCTCTCTCTCTCTATGTATATGTATATATGTATATGTGTGTATATATATACTCATATACACACACACATATACATATATATGTGCACACATATGTACATATGTATATAGACACATACATATACATATATATAGAGAGAGTCACATACCCCTTGGAGACCCAGCCTTTCCCTGGGATAATCAGCAACCTGAGGCAGTAGAAGACAGTAGCCTGGACCTCTGGCAGGCTAAAGAGAACATCTTGACCTAAGTTACGTTTCAGTTCCTGAGCCCTAAGATGGAACTGGCTACTTTCCCATGAGATTGGACAGAGGGCTGCCAGGAAATACCTCAGAGCTGTCCTCAAGACCTGAAGATATGATTTATGACCCTTACTTCTGACCAGTCAGTTCTCAGCACAACTACTAACCCACAATGTGTTATGATTTTGCCCTATATAATCTGTAACCTACACACCATCAGGGAGATGGGTTTTTAGAAGCATAAGCTCCTCACCTTCGAATTGACCAAGTCAATATTAAACTATTTTTTCTTTTTATACTGCAAACTCCTGCTTGTGCATTACTTTGGGCCAGTGTATGCAGGCAGGTGGACTCAAGGAAAAACATTGGGGTTCTGGTAACACTACTACATTTTACTGAAGAGGAAACTGAATCCTGGAGAGAGGAAGTGATGAGTTCTACATCACATAGCAAATTTGTGAAAATGTCTGCTGAAAGCCCAGACTTCCTGACTCCTAGTACAGTGCTCATTTCTTCAGCTTGATAAACTATGGTAAACCTTTCAAAAAAGGCTCTCATCTATCCTTTACTGTTCCCTGCCTCATTCTTCATTCCTGGAAATGGAAGAAATGGTTATACTTGTTTCTTTGCAGTAAAGGACGCTGCCTCCAGGTGGGGGCATGTCAGCAGCCAACCTCCATGGGCTGCAAATCAGTGGACCAATATGTGCCCGGCACTGTTCTAGATGTGGGGTTAGGATAGCAAACAGGACAGACATGGGCCCTGTCCTAAAAGAGTCCCCGTTCTGTAAGTTCTGGTAATGCAGGGCTCTGTCCTGCCCACAGACTGTTCCTCCTAGCTTCTCATTCAGGTTATATAAAGCTCTGTTAACCAAGTCCCCTAAGCCCAGCTCTCTGGTGTTGGATGGTACCTCCCAGGTTTCCCAAAATCCCTTGGGAAGCACAGGGCCAGACAGTGGGCAGGGGGGAGGGGCCTTTGAAGATGCACATCCTTTGAGCATGTCTTTGAGCCTAGCAGCCATGGCCAGGCACCCATGCCACTCCCATACAGGGGCTCAGTCCTTGTGTCCTCCCTGTTGGCAGATGGCAGGTGCCTTCCAGGTGTGAGGATGAGTGGAGCAGCTGGCCCAGGGGGACCAGGTGTGTTTGATTGGCTCTGAAGAGGATGTGTTGACCAGCTGACACTTCAAGGCTGAATGAACCACAGTGTGCTCAGAGGCAAATGGAACATTTCCAGTGACAAAAGCTGTGTTTGGTTAAAAGGCAAGTCTTTAAAGAGGTCTGAGGGTGCCCTGCCCCAGAGTGTTTGTCTGTGTTTGCAGGATGCTGCATTAATATTTCACAGATGCGCAGATAAATATTTCAATGCGCTGCATTTTAATGTCAATCTCACTGGCTTTCCTGACTCCAGATCTTCGATTGCATTTGTCTTTTCCTGCCCACGTATTTATTTGCTGAAAACCTTATTTATTTTTTATTTTTTTAATTTTTTTAGCTGAGCCATCCTGCTACCTGTTGGCAGCTCAGCGGCTGCTCAGCTCGGGCTGGACTCGAACCGCTGTTGCTCAGAGCTCAAACTCTTGAGCGAGCTCTTATGAAAACCTTATTTTGGAAGCAAATGAAAGCCATACCATAAGAGATGAACCACCAAATTTCCATGAAAGAAAAGTCAAACCCTGCACTCTACAGACTAACTAGGTTCACATGAAAGGAGCTAAATTGAGGGCTGGGATATCACAAGGAATTTTATCTGGCACAGGCTTGTAGAACTTTATTTCCATCTGGTTCCCAGCTTGATGTCATCCCAACATTGCTCTGTTCACTGTTGCTGCTCCCCAAAGAATAATGTCTTCCTTGGTGGTCTGCTGACAGGATCCCATTCTAAGCAAACCTTAATAGGTTTAGGGATTGGACCAGTTGAAGAACTGTAAACAATGATTAATTGACATTTCAAAAAGCAGAAACACGGGTGGTAACCTCCCATTAATAGTTTCTTTCTTCCTGATTTTCTCTCTCTCCCGCTAGTTCTCTTTCTCACTCGTCTTCCACCCATTAGCAAATCATAATATATAGCTGAAGTATATATTTTAGTAATGACTTATTGAATGAAATGTGTGTTCCCAATTCTTAATCTAAAAAAAAAAGTTGATTATATTATTTAGGGAGAAATAATTTTTCTAAGTATTTTTCCCCCTGTGGATCAGTGATCCTCCCCAGAGCTAGAAGAAAAATGAGAAAAAAACCCAGCTCACAATAATTTTTAAAAACCTATTCTACAATAGGAACATTTCGTATACAGAATCTCGCTTAATCCTCATTGTAAACTTGAAAGGAAATGAGAGCGCCATTTATATAAGTGAGGAAGCTGAGACTCAGCAGAGGAAAGTAGTTTATATGCAATCACACAGCTAAAGTACTTGGAATCTAGATGCCAGCCCAATTTTGCCTACCCCCAAATCCAATTTCTTCTCTACTTCTGGAGAAACACTGTTGAGTGAAAAAAAAAAAGCCTCCCAGAGAACCACATACAGTGTAATACTATTTTTATTAAGCTCAAAAATTAAACCATATGTTGTTTA